AGTGTGTGTGTGTGTGTGTGTGTGTGTGTGTGTGTGTGTGGTGTGCGTGTGCATGTGTGTGTGTGTGTGTGCATGCATGTGCTCATGCACATGCTCATGTGCATTTCCCCTAGAAGCTTTTCCTGTTTAAACTAACTCCCACAATGCAATTCGGACATGCTGTCCCATGTTGGTATGCACAAGAAAAGCTGTGCCATGCTCTACTCTATGGAGACAACCTATGTTCCATAGCTCCCCACGAGCCTGACCTATGACACGACTGTGCATGCTAGTGAATCAGCAATATGAATTAGATGAGGTATTGGTAAGCAGAGATGTGCATAAATTAATAAGGTTAAATACCAATGGGTTGATAGGAATGCTCTGATCAGAAGTCCACAGGAACCTAACCCTGTGTTTGTCCTGGGTGTAGTTGAAGTTTTTCTGTGCCCCAGTCTGCCGGTGGTCAGGATAAATCTCTCTCACCTGCCAGTCCTGCAGCTACTCAGACCCAAGTAAACACACAGAGGCTTATATTATTTACAAACTGTATGGCCATTAGCTTAAGCTTATTACTGACTAGCTCTTACACTTAAATTAACCCATAATTCTTATTTATGTTTAGCCACATGGCTTGGTACCTTTTCTCAGTTCTGCCCTGCCATCTTGCCTCCTCTGTGTCTGTCTGGCAACTCCTGACTCAGCCTTCCTTCTTCCCAGAATCCTCCTCTCTGCTTGTCCCGCCTATACTATACTTCCTGCCAAGCAGCTACTCTTCTGGTGGTCCCCATGGCCTGTCTTAGACCCATCTCTCTCCCTGGTTCAGTTTCAAGGTGCTTGGAAAAACCACACCTTGTAATTCTTTGTAACTCTTTGGAAGAGGCTAGCCTAAATTATTCTTTTGAGGTGTGATCATTGAAGACTAAAATGCACTGACTTGCTTAGATGATTTAACCCAACAGAGTTTACTGAGCACCCACAGTAAACTAGGCACCAGTCTGGGAGCTGAAGCCATGAAAGGAGAGCTGATCAACACAGTCACATGTTGAGCAAGTGCTGATTCCACACTAGGCATTGGGGCAGGGCTCTTGTCTCTCAAGGAGTGAAATGTCTGGTGAGAAAAATGGACGGGACATAGATGGTGGCATGTGGTTTGTGTGATTCCAAGTGTGATGAGCACTCTCAGGTAAGGAGTGGGGAACCTGTGGTCCAGTCAGGGATGGGTGTCCCTTTCTAAGAGTGTGACAGACATGCAGCATTAGGGAGCCAAGTTCAAACAAAGGAGGGGCTAGCAGCCAAGCCAGCTCAAGCAGCCAACACTTAACTTCTCAACAATAGCCTGGTCTCACTTTCCTGGGGCTTTGTTTAGATAGTCTTTTCTACATACATTAACTCAGAATCAAAAGCAGGGAAAGGAAGGGGTGTGGGCTCTCCAGTGGGAACACTCACGGCCAATACTGCTGGGTAAACTAACAATTCAAATATTTGCCAATTGTTGACCTATATATCCACAGCCTGGGAGATTATAATATCCTGGGACAGCATGCTATCGTGCTGGTCCTGTTTGAGCTTGAATCTTCTCAAATCATAGTTTTCTTATCTGTGAAATGAGGATGGAAGCATACTCTCCCTGAAGTGTTGTTGGAGAGATTAAATGAGATAATAAAATGTTCAGTCCAGAGCTTTGGCATGGAAGGAATGCCCAAAAGTACTGATTGACAACATTTTCTAGTAGTTTAACCTCTAGTTACAATGAGTAACCAATACTAGGAGTTCATGGGTGTCAACAGTATACTTATTAAACATCACTTATTGTCCACAGAATGCAAGGTGCTGATGAAAGAGTAGTGGACAGGTAAGCTATGCAAATCCCTGATGGTGTGCATTTGCATATTCTGAACATAATTTGCATGTATGATGCAATTCAGAATGTATGCATACCCACATATGCGTAACCCAAACCCAAACTTATGCAGTGTTCATTACCCCTGCTCATGGACTGTACCCTTCTCCATTCTACAAGAGACCTCACTTTTTAAATGCAGGTGTTGGCCCGCTCAATTGATTTCATAACTCTCAAATGGATGGTAGCCACCATTTAATAGGACCGTGTACTAGACAAAATGAGTGGAAGGTGGAAGTAAATCCTGGCAGAGTGCATTGTCATGGATCTTGCTAGCTTTCCCAGCACTGGTTTTTTGGTCTCTTTCTTGTGTCGGGCACTGCTGCTGCCTTGGAATTTTGGCAGCATTCTGCACTCCAGTGCTCCAGTGAGAAGCTGGGTGTACTCTGTGGCTGAGCAAATAAAGCCTTTGGTCAACTTCAGCAACTCCATTTGTTCCCCAGGTCACCCCAGCCCTCAATCTGGGGTTTTCTCATTGCCCCAAACTGTTCTTGTGTCTTATAAGATGACTTGAAACTAATGAACATTACTCCCATATACCAAGTGCTCATCATGGAGGCTGA